AATTTGAAGCTTAGCCTTCTGGTTCTCATTAATTTGAAGGAAAATCTACTATTTCGCATACGTTTGAAGCTAAATCATGTGTTTCTCAAGAATTTAAAGCACGTCGAACGCCAATATCGAGAATTATTTATATAGTTATTCATATTTTTTATTTGTTTGCTTTATTCTGGCCTGGCCTTGAAATATTCTAAACGTCTTGAAATTTGAGAATATGCTTTTGCTTCCTCTGAAATTACAATTTAAACAGCCAATGGTCAGTACTTTTTATGCACGATGAATATACTCATCGAACATAGTTAGATGATTATAGGTCAAATGAAATAATTTGTAGTTTTTTGGGACGTTAGTGTCGAGAATATCAATTACCCAATTGTACAATTCGCGTAAATGAATTTGGTAATACTGAAAAGACTCTTTAAATATCGATAATAAAAATCTATAATTCTCTATCAAAATACACAAAAATGGACAATTTGGGAAGTGGAGATACGATTATTCGATCCTCGCAGCTCGTTTTTATAATCGTTGATAACTCGTAACTATGAAAACGAACTTCAAAGCTCGAATAATCGTATCTCCTCTTTCCAAATTGTCCATTAATTGTGTATAATCCGAGCGTCAATTAGAGAGACATTACTCTAATTAGAAGGCCGTCTTCAAAATCCTCGCAACGAGTCCGACAAGTTATCGCGTAGAAGAAGATGCTCGCCCAACTAAGCGACAGAGTCCATTTCACGACTCACTCGGATACGAAACAGCGTTTACATCTACCGTCTTCCGGTTCCACGAGGACGCACGACATAAAGCTTTTTATTATCATTGTTTTCCGCGGGACGCTACGGAGACCAAGCCATTCGATCCGTCGCGAAACAAAGTCCAGGTTCTTAAACGAATCCCTGGCGTGCGAAACTTTTACAGCGATGTACACAGAGCCGCGTAGACGCGTGTCCGGTTCCGCCATCAACACCGACGAGAAACCACCCCCCGTCCCCCCTTATAAACAATTTTCGTTCGGCGTTGTAGCGAGGCTTGCGACAAATTTATCGCGGCTCGTGGATCAGGCCGGTTCCGCTTTACAGCCGGCCGGAACGACGTAAACACGCCCCGTGAAAAACGAAAACCGTCGTAACGAAAGGCGCGGGAGCGGATCGACGGTGGTCGGAACGGCTCCGAAGCGACCCGGAAAGGATTTTCATTGGCGATCGGCCGTTAAACCGGCTCGTGGCGCTAGGAACGCGTTTTCCGTTCCTTCCGGGTCCAAGTGTCCTCCTCGTCCTCCCGGGGTCCTCGACGCAGACCTGCTGTAAGTTGCGCCGGCCGTTGCCATAAATCCGGCAGCGATTCAGCGCGGACGGAGGCGGTTTACATTTTAGAGGAGAATGCGATAAACCACGTCAGCGGTATCGTGCGTTCCAGCGCGTGTAACACGCCGAAAGGAGATACAGCTCTAGGCCGGTTTATCGGCGATATTTTCCAGCACGGCTCACCCAGCGCACGGCGACCCGGGCACACGCGTTTCGCTCTCGATCATTATTTTTTTAATAGGCGACGGGTAGTTTGACCGATCGCGCGACGGACAACAACAGATCGTTCGGAAACTAACGATCCCCGTCTACGATGATCTGCTACGGATGGATCAATTAAACCGTTTCACGTTTGCGCCTCGACGGACCTTACGGCTAGGTGTTCGATTAATTGAAACAGGCGAGCAAATTCGAAAGCTTAAGGATAACGTATTAGTTATTTAATGCGGACCTTTGACACCTAGGAGAAGACAAGGAAAATTGCACGAATTCATGGCGATAGTTCGGATGAATTTTGAGATGCGTTCTCGTGGAGATATTATTATGCAACGTCGCTTAAATGAAAGCTGGAAGTGTCTACTTTAAAACAGTATTGTAAATAGATTAGATTTCAATAGAGTGATCATTTTGAAAAATTCAATTGGAATCGACCTCTGACATCATGGGGTTTACGAGATTTAGAAGGAGAAGTTCAGATGAATTTTGAGATACATTTTCGTAGAGCTATTTTTATGAAACTTGGCTTAAAAGAAAGCTGGAAGTGTCCACTTTAAGACAGAGTAGATTAGATTTCAATAGAGCGACGAGATCATTTTGAAAAATTCAATGGAATCGACCTCTGACATCATGGGGTTTACGAGATTTAGAAGAAGTTTAGATGAATTTTGAGATACGTTTCCGTAGAGTTATTTCTGTGCAAATTGGCTTAAAAGAAAGTTGAAAGTGTCCACTTTAAAACAGAGTAGATTAGATTTCAATAGAGCGACGAGATCATTTTGAAAAATTCAATGGAATCGACCTCTGACATCATGGGGTTTACGAGATTTAGAAGAAGTTTAGATGAATTTTGAGATACGTTTCCGTAGAGTTATTTCTGTGCAAATTGGCTTAAAAGAAAGCTGGAAGTGTCCACTTTAAAACAGAGTAGATTAGATTTCAATAGAGCGACGAGATCATTTTGAAAAATTCAATGGAATCGACCTCTGACATCATGGGGTTTACGAGATTTAGAAGAAGTTTAGATGAATTTTGAGATACGTTTCCGTAGAGTTATTTCTGTGCAAATTGGCTTAAAAGAAAGCTGGAAGTGTCCACTTTAAAACAGAGTAGATTAGATTTCAATAGAGCAATGAGATCATTTTGAAAAATTCAATGGAATCGACCTCTGACATCATGGAATTTACGAGATTTAGAAGAAGTTTAGATGAATTTTGAGATACGTTTCCGTAGAGTTATTTCTGTGAAAATTGGCTTAAAAGAAAGCTGGAAGTGTCCACTTTAAGACAGAGTAGATTAGATTTCAATAGAGCGACGAGATAATTTTGAAAAATTCAATGGAATCGACCTCTGACATCATGGAATTTACGAGATTTAGAAGAAGTTTAGATGAATTTTGAGATACGTTTCCGTAGAGTTATTTCTGTGAAAATTGGCTTAAAAGAAAGCTGGAAGTGTCCACTTTAAGACAGAGTAGATTAGATTTCAATAGAGCGACGAGATAATTTTGAAGAATTCAAAGAAATCGACCGCTGTCATCATGGGGTTCACGGGATTTAGAAAGAGAAGTTCGGATGGATTTTAAAATACGTTCCCGTAGAGCTATTTCTGTGCAACTTGGCTTAAAAGAAAGCTGGAAGTGTCCACTTCGAAATAGGATAGATTAGGCATAGATTCTATAATAAGTCCGTTCGCGTCAACGGCTGCAAGGTACTTAACGCGAACGGACTTATCACACAACCTAATAGAAACTGATCGTGCATGCATCCGTGAGCAAGCAAGAGAATTGTCTGCACGCTAGGCCGGAGCATCGAAACACCTATTTATCCCTTTTTCCACAATGTTCGAAAGAGGTTCGCTCCATCGGCGAGTTTTCGCGAAAGCCCAGAAGGAACAATCTAGATCGCGGCGAGATTCGATCACCGAAGTTGCCGAAATTTCCTTCCCCGAAGAAGTTTCAGCAATAACCTGGCATCGATTTTCGTTTGGTTTAACGAGGCTAAGAGGTGAACGTTGAACCGGTGAACGTAATCCCGTCCCGTTTGTACAGAAGACTGTGTAACGAGCCGCAAAAATAGCAGCAACGCCATCCGCGAACGCACGTCCAACTCCCTTCAACGGTCCCATGAAGTTACCGGAGAACCAATTCGGATCCCGAGTCACGGACTTCCTGGTCGAGTTCGTCAGCTTTTTGCGTCGTTTTACCCCATCAGCGGCAAAGGCGGATTCGTTTGCCAGTTACAAAGTCCCGCGGAAAGTTTGCACCCTTCGACCTCTGTTTAATCCAACGATTCGATAAAACAGCCGAGGCTCGAGATACAGCCGAAAGAACAGAGACCCGGCCGTAACACGTGCGAGATTAGCATACCACGTAGAATTTCGTTCGCTTCTCTCTCTCTCTCTCTCTCTCGTAAACGTGCCGCGTGAATTCGAGCACAGACAAAAGTTTCGCAGGAGTTTCGTTTTACTTGGGCTGCCGCCTTCAATTAGATGAAACGGATGAAATAACGGCGAGGACGAGCAGGAACCGCGTCATTGAATCGAGTCGGAAGCAAACTGCGAACGTCTCCGACAACCGTGAGTTTGCCGTAGGGTGCACTATGAATCTAAGAAACCCGTAATCGCTGCGTACTTCGACAGGCAAACCGAGATTGACAACTTATGGAGCAGTTTCCAATTAACGTCGCGTCGTTGCTCCTGGACTTTCGGATGCGCTTAACCAATCGCGGCGAATACTTTTCGCAGGATTTAGGATGCTTAATCGACAAATAACCATCGCGGCTAACATAAATCATTAACAACGCTACGATCCAACGTGAAACTTATTGCTCTTCAAACAACAACCGCTTCAGCCCCATTAATTCACGTATTCCCGGTGTGCCGCGAGCTAAAACCGTTCCCGTACAGAGGAAATCTCTTGAAACCCACGCGAACGAAAATGAAGAGTAACGAGACTCGGTTCGGGCCAAAAAAGCCACGGTAGGAGGATTAAAGATAATAGTGTCGTCCGAGTGCCGACTTAAAAAGGGCGGAAAGAAACGCGGAAGCGATGAAACTCCTGGCCGAGTACTGATCACGATGGAATCAGAAGATGGGACGAAAGCCCGTCCGCAATCGAGGCGATCGGATCTCGTGACAGGGGCCAATAAAGCAGCGTCCCCGGTACAGGAACGAGACTTCCGATGGAAACGTGCAATCAGCGGAAGAATGATTTCTGCGAAGCCAGCTTGGCAATCGTGCTAATTCAAGGAGGACGTCGGGACACGGAGACTCGGAGTCGGCGGAATCGAAGGACAGCGACGCGGAGGTGTCTCCGAAGACGCTGCACATGATCCGCGTAACTCGTCGCGCTCCTGCCCCTCGTCAAGATCCTCGTCTCTCGAACGTAGAGGGACGCTCGTCTCCTCGACGAGCGGTCGAGCATCTCCGAGACTTTCGGTAAAGCTTCCGCGGAAAAGGAATTTCGCGTGCTGCACTCACCGTGTACGAGGAGCAGCAGGGTCACAGCAGCGACGATCCAGGGTCTCGCGAATCCCGGAGTCACGTGGCGCGGGGGATCGCCGATCCGGAGCCGCGTCCTCGCGCACCATCCACTGATCGCTATCATCGGCCGTTCTCCACTCATGGTGTCCGACCCGGATTGATCGTCCAGGTGTGGAACTGGCCGTTCACCGTCCGGTCCGAGCCCCTCGCAGGGCCTGCCCGAGCCGTGCGCTACCTCTGTGTCCGGGCGCCGTGTGCTTCCTCGAGGAACAATCGCGCACCTGATCAACGAGCCTGACCAAGTCTCTCGGGCACACACCGCGTCGGGCGCCAGTGAGAGACTGTTCGACTTTGGCGGCGCGCGACAGGTTCCCGCGACGCGACCGTTCGTGGCTCGTGGCTCGTGCGCAGCCGGTCTCCCTCGACCAGCCTCGGCTACCCCGACTCGTACACTCGCTCGGCAGACATCCTGCGCTGCCTCGCGATCCCCGTGGGGTTGGCCACGGACACCAACCCCCGGCCTGCATCTACACGGACGCGGTGCTCCTCGCCGCCAACCCCCCCTCCCCCTAAGTACGGGTATCCGCGGGGTTACGAAGAACCTCTCCGACCGCAGCTCAGGCCGAGGCAACCAGGGAACCACCGGCCGCCGCCTCTGCCTCTGTCTCTGGCCCTGCCACCCCCTGTTATCCAGGTACAACTCCTCCCTCTTCGCGTCCTCGTCCTCGTCCTCGTCCTCGTCCGCGTCCTAGTCCGCGTCCACCCTGCGCCGGCCGCCCGCCTGCACCTCGACCGACAGTCCATGTTCCGTTGCAATATCCAACGCGTACACCGTCGGAATCACCCACCCCCAACCCCCCAACCGCCCACCCTGCCCCGCCTGCCGTCGTCCGCCGAGCCGGCCGACCATCAACCGACGACCTCAAAGAGCGAGAGAACCCGGTGTAACCTTACGCCACCGTCACGGGAACGCAAATTAAATAGCACGCCGGGGTTACGGCGTCGATTAGCCACCCTTCCGCGGACCACCTTTATCCGACCGCCAGCGCGTATTCAAATTATTACTTGTCCCGCTTTTTCGCGTTTTCTGCCCCTTTCCACCCTTCCCTCTCATCTTCTCGCTCTCTTTTTATATCTTTCTCTCTCTTTCTCTTTCTCTCTATTTCTAGTTCTCACGCTCCGTCTTGTTTGCCTGTTGTGTTTTGGTCTTCCTTCTTCCCTTCCGCAGAGGATTAGCGCGACGAAACGGCGGCATTCGGCTGGGAACGGAGAATCCTCTTTAATATTCCGTTGCATGTATTTTCAGGCAACAGTTTCACGGAACAGAAGTCTCCACCAGCCCTGAGTTGGTTGGTGTGTATTTAGCTGGATACGATCGCTGGTGCTTCGGCGTTGCTACCTTCGCGGGCACGTTAATGTTTAATAGAGGCGCGTGTGCCGGATTCGTTACAGGGTGCGTTACAGGGGCGAAGCAACCAATTCGCAGGAATTTGTAACGCGACTTTCTGTTACACCTGGCTGGCTTTAAACGGCGAACGTCGGTGAAGCGGTTTTAATTTCGCGAAGGTGGGTAGAGAACGGGGTTACGATAATCCTCTTGTTGGTGTGTTTAACGTCGAACGGAAGCCGAACGCGCGCAGCGAATACGCGCCGGTCTTAAAGAGGCTAACGATTCCGGGCCCGATACTCGGCGCTATCTGGGTCAGCGCTGTCCGAAATTTACACGCGAGCAAATCGATCGTTCTCTAATCCGTTTTCGTTGTCAAGAGAAACAAGATGTTAAGCGCAACATCGTGCAACGCTGTTGCGCGTTAACTGTTTCCGAGGAATTTTTCCTGTCACGCGATTACCGCGCGATAACCCTTTTATTCCGCGGCCAGATTTGCTGTTTCGCTCCGCCGAATCGTGTAATCGGACTCGCCTATTACGCGACTATTGTGCGAACAACAATGCGCGATAATATTATTGCGCGAATTACTCGAAAACTGGGAATTCTATTAGCAATTATAAAGTACTAGGCATATTGCGTTTCGGGTGATTAACGTGTCGATGAAATGAAATAGTATAGTACCATAAAATAACGTTCACCGAGAACCATATTTACTGGAAATTCGCATATTTGTACGTCGTTCAATAATGGAAGAGAGCAGAGAATTATCAATTAAGAAATAACAGAATGGAAAATGGTCGCTTTTTATAGAGGTATTTTTATAGATATATACATATTTCACAAACAAAGTTGCAACGGATTTATGAGCAATAAATATTGTTAATATAGATTAGTATATTATATAGATAGAAATATATATTATATAAATATATACTTACTAAAATATATAATAAAATTATATAAAAATATATTTATATAATTATATAAATATATACTATTATTTCTATATATATAAATATATATTATATATATTATATTATATATAAATATATAGTATAATATTATTATACCTCTTCGAAGACCGAACAATTTCGTTGTTATATTTCAAATAACTGCTGTGTATTTTCAAAGGACGTCACAGTTCTCTCGGACCTCCCATGAAATTTCTATTTTTACTGCAAAAAAGGTTTAAATGTTTAACTTAAAAGTCGCACAAAAATATTGAACTTAAAAGTCGCACAAAACTATTTAACTCGAAAGTCGCACAATGATATTTACCTTGAAAGTCGCACTTAAAAATCGCGCATTAAATCGCACGCTCCGATAAGCATTTTCGAATTTTTCGGACTTCTGCGAAACGTTGCAACAATCGATCGAATATTTCTTAGCGGCCTGGATAGCGACCAGGATATAACAATAGATTGCCAGCCAATAGCTGCGGCCGCAGTTATCGAGCACGTGCACGTTTTGTTTACGTTTACTCCCTGGTCCCGATGGACCGAGTTATAGATTCTTTTATTCCTGTCCGACCGCGGAAAAAGTAAGTGTGAAAACGTTAGAAAAATTAGCACGCTCCGTCCAAATTGTTTAAAAGTTCCAAGGTGACGTGGAAAATTCTTTTTCACGGGAAAATCATTGGGAAAACTCATTGAAAATCACGGGAAAACTCTTGAAACAATTGATATTCGATCTTACTATTGTTTCAAATTGCATCTGAATCAATCGACGAACGAAAACATGCAATTCCATATAAAAACAGTTTAGAAAATCGCACTTCTTAATTTACAACAAATTGGCAGAGTCTGTAAAAACACAGCGAGCGGTTACAAAACTCTCAAATTCCGAAGCATCCATAGTTCTTGATATTTCCGATCTCACGCTTCGAATTTCGGGCTTTCCTGCAAAAGTCGAACGCGGTGCAACGTGCAGAAAGTGTTCGCAAGCGTGCTCGCGAGTGTATTCACCGGCGTGAAGTGCGCGAGGGGATAAAAACAAGCGGCCTTTAGATCCGCGGAAATGGAGATGGACTTATAGCCGTTTTTTCAGCAGACGTTTACTATTAAAATGGTGGAACGGTCGGCCGGGTCCGGCCACCGTTATCCACCGCGGGCGTCGAAAAGCTCGTACTACATGATATAATCGCCGGCGGAGAACTAGTTTTGTTTTGGTCGTTGCGCGGCCAGCGTGCGGGGCAAATGGAGCCTAGGGTAGCCCCGGACTGCTGAGACAGATTAAAACGAGAGATTCGAACAACGCTTTGTCGTGCGCCGGTGTCGCGCGATAAAGCAGAGGCAGAGGGGAAATGAGAGAAACGGCGATGACCCCGCGTCGCGGCTTCGTCCGCGGCGCGTTCGGATCGCTGGAAAAATTATTCACGTTCGCCGGGTTTTTCATCGGCCGATCTTTTTAATGAAGAGGAAACCGGACGAATCCGGCACGAACGATGCGGCCGGAAAATTGGATCGAATAACAATTTGCTTCCCGTTCCGTTCGCCCTTTAATTAAAATACATTGCATTCGCGCATTGTATAAACACTTCTTATTAATTCCGGCACGTTATAATCGGGGAAATATTATAACCGTATTGGTAATCGTCGGTTAGTGAAAGCGCGCGCCGATTCGCGGAGAGAGAGAGAGAGAGAGAGGAGAGAGAAACCGGGATACGTTAAATCGAGATGGAAATTCGATTGTACGCGAGGGAATTATTTTCCAGGATTTCAGCCCGGGGGTTTTCAAACGTCAGAGGCGAAGCTGAGGCCGATAATCGACAACAAGTGACCCTGTCGGCCATCAAAGTGCTCCGCGTGATACCCGTTGCAACGCGCGCTGACGGCGGGCTCGGCCGTAGGCGCGAAATTAAATAGCGATAGAGCAGCTCACCCCGTCGACTGGCATTGGTCACCTACGCGGCCGATTCCTTCCTGCCTCTCAATTATGCCGGAACCCGGGCCGAGAGCCGCGAGCATTCGCGTCGCCAATTAATGGCAGAGTATTAAAAAAACGTTTCTAGGATGATTCGATTACAACTTTGGTCACCGAACAGAGAGAGAGGGACCGAATATCTTGTTTTCCGAGCGCGTAAATATTTTTTGTTCCGTTTGTTTTCTTCCTTCCTTTTTTTTTTGTTTCAGTTCCTGGAACATCGACGCGATCGCGTAAATTTGATTGGATCCACTGGAACAAAGCTTTGTACTCGAAAAAAGCTCAGGAAACTGTGCACGCTGGCGCAGAAAAGTGTGATAACAACAAATTTCCGTTTTTCGAAAAGTTCTCTCTTGTTGTGGAATTTCGTTAAAAGGCAATTGTACAACGACGGGCCGCTATCCCGTGTTCGTTCAAGACGAATTTTTTTGATCGGATTGGAGTCATCGGAAAACGTTTCATTTCAGCGAACCGTTATGACGTTTTCGTGTCGTATATTCTTTACGAAATTCGGCGGCACTTCTCTTTCAGGAAATTAAATTCACATTTTGGAGTTCGAGTTGATTGTATCTATATATGAATATATTGCATTCGGAACTGTCTCTCTATTATTATCAACGTTGTACACCTTCGTTATACCGCTGAGCCCAATTACTATAATCAAAGGATAATGATGTATTCGAAACAGTCGCAGAATAGATCGGTTTCAGCGGAAGGTAAACAATACATTAATTCAAACGAAACAATACTCCTCTGTCTTCAGGATTGCCAGATCGTTATAAGCATCCAGTTTATGAAAAAGAGAGAGAGTTTCGAAAATGAAATATTAATCATATCCATATATAATCTTCTATTTACAGTAATAATTATATTCTGTCACCAACCACTTGTGCATCTGCGTCTCAATGTAATTAATACTGTAATAGTAAATCAGAATAATAATATATTAATTCAAATATGGGAATTGTTATGTTAATTAAATTGTGAATGCTAGAGATAATTATCTATCAGGAAGAATCAAATGAAATGATTCTTTACTAACGCAGGGTTTCCCATATTCATGTTAAAACTCGAAAAGAGGTGATTCTTGAGGTCATTTGAAGTAACTTTTTCCC